GGGAAAGAGAGAGTGTGTGGACTTCCGGGGAGCAGCCCCTGTGGGATTCTGCACACTGAACAATTAATCTTGAAGCTGGACAAAGGCGTCTGACCTGAAGGCTATGGGTTAACTGCTCTTTAAGGGCGGACGAGCCAGGTCTCTGTCCAACGTGCCTCTGCCCCCTGCCTGAGGGAGGGCAGCCAGAGTCAGAAGGCTGCTCTGAGTGTTTCCACAAGGATTTACAAGGAGCGGCTGTCGGGAGCAGAGGAGGGGGCAGCACTATGGTCCCGAGTCCCCAAGTGCCCAGTGCCATGGCCAGCAAAACCGAGCGACCAGTGCCCACCAATGGAACCACTTCTGTATCCTGAAAGGTGGGCCAGGGCCAGGGTTTCTCTCAACACACCAGCATCATAAATGGCCAACTGTCTTCTAGGCGACTTTCAAGGAGAACTTGAATTACACTGAAATTAATTACATTTCCCAAAATGCCATATTAGTATTTCCTCTGAGAGTAAAATATATTTCAAGTGATTTAGGAAAAAAATATATTACCTGAATTGGGGGCACAGCATCCACCCATTTTTGTAGCTCTTTATGATGTTTGTGTAGCTAAAGAACAATTAATGAGAAAACGTTAAAATGATTGACATCTCACTCTAGAATTGTAATAGCATGTGAATTAAAATCAGATACCTGGTGACTACCTACCTAAAAATAATCCCCAGTACTGAAACTGCACTTAAATTGACCATTTAGAATGTTATAAACATCACTAAATGAAAGTAGATACAAAACAAATGAGCAGGCTGTTTGCTGACAGGCTGGAGCCCACAGCCTGCAGGGAAAAGTGTGGGCTGAGCCATCAGCTCCCTGCTGTGAGCCTCCCTGGCAGATGGCTCACCAGGCGCCATGGTCAAAGTTCTCAGAGTAAGCCAGAGTCCAGTAAGACCCAGCTTTCTGCTCAGGCCCCTGAATCCTTAAGGGCTCCTTCCAGAAGCCTCAGTGCAATAACCGTATTGTCCAGTTCCTGTAATGTAATGTTTGATATCTGAGGCCTTGCTGACACTTAGAGAGGCTGCCCCTCCTAGGGTTAGCTGATTCCTAGAGAGAACAAAAAACTGGGAGCCCACCTTTCATTTGCAAACCATCCAATCCAGAGCCCAGACCTCAATCCCCTCTTTTTTTAGGGTCCTTTCATTCTGGGCCAGGAATCCTTGTCCTAATAACCCCAGGGCCAGGTACCAGACAGCTAGGGACAGCCTCTGACCCAGAGCCCACTGAAACAATCCAAAGTAGTCTCCCCTAAACCCGCTTACGCTGCCTCCCCCATTCCTTTCTGCAGAAACCACAAGAAAGGTTCTGTCCGTGTCTTCCCCTCACGCTCTCTGCCTTCCGCCCATCCTGGTGCTCTCCCATGTGCCCTGCATGATGAACCGCGCCTCTTGTTTTTAGGCGTCTGTGAGTATAATAAAATCCACCCGTCATGACCATTATTTTCACGTCTGTGTGCCTTACCATACCTGATTATGTCAAATCCTGGGCCCCCTTAAAACACTCAGCCTCCAGAGTGGGCCAAAGTAGGGAGCTGGCGGGAGGCCTGCACTCGTGGAGCCTGCAGGAGCTCAGAGGCCTGTGAACAGTGTGGTCCCCAGATTTTCGATCCGGTTCTCCAGTTGCTAGTTGTGTGACTTAACCTCCTTGGGTTTCACTTTCTTTGATTGAAAAATGGAGAGAATAATATCACTATCAGAGACCTCTTAGGAAAATAAATGAAGCACTTCGCAAGTGTACAGTCACACAGCACTCATAAATATTAGTTCCTTTTCATGTTCGTTTCCCATAGTTGTTGCCTTTATCTTTTCATTCCTTTGAAAATGCATTCTCTACTAACCTCATGTTTTAATCATTATTTATTTAAGGTTAGCTGCCTTTATCCTTTTATACCAGTACTTAAAAATAGAAATGGAATCCTAACCACATGGATAATTTTAAAGTTTCCAGGAGGCACATTTAAAAGGTTTAAAAACAAAAGTGAAATTAATTTTTATAAAATATTTTTTCACCTAGTACATTCAAAATATTGCCTTTTCAACGTGAAATCAATATGAAAAATTGAAAGTTTGTACTTTTTTTCCATATTAAGTCTTAAAAATCTGTTGTGTATCTTACGCGTACAGGACACATCAATTTGGATGCTAAATTTTCATCAGAAACACTTGATTTGTATTTAGGTTTCTATGTGGCTGGCATTATATCTTCTGGACAGCGTTACTCTATATGCTTGTTACCTTTTTCTCCCCAGCCTTGCCCTGTACACTCTCCTTTATCTTGAGACTTGCTAGTTCCTCTTCTAATTGAAGTCCACCCTAGCAGGCCTACGGCTTACTGCAGTGACTTTTTGAGGATGATCACAGATCATAAATTGCCTTGATAGACCATCGGGTGTAAGGGCGTAATAAGCACCTTGGTGCTGAGCCCTGTTACCCACAGCACACACACGCAGTCGTCAGTGCAGAAGACTGGAGCCCACATTTCCTGGGGGTGAGTTCAGCGCTATGGGTTAGTTCCTTGTACCTGCAGATACCTCCCCCTGCCAGTTCCTTAATATAATCCTGAGGGGCTCATAACCAGTCCATTCATTCTCATAACTGTCTGAAAGATAAATGAAAGAAGACACAGTCTGGGTGTCCTTGTCTATCCTATCTGGGGATTAACAGAATTCTTTGTGAAGAAGATACTGCAAAACAAACTTTTTAGTACAGTTAAGCCCTCACTTAACAGAGCAGATAGCTTCTTGGAAACTGCTGACTTTAAGCAAAAGGACCTGTAAGGGAACCAGCTTTACCACAGGCTACTTGATACACAGACTATGCCACAGGAACTTAACTCTTGTTTATATTAATTAAACTATAGTAAAAGTGGCTAGTGTGGCTAGTCACCGATTCCAAGAGCCTTTCTAGGATGTTCAGTGAGGACTTACTGTACTATTGTTCGCCAGGCTTTATTTGTGCTCTTCACAATTAATTGGAGAAATAACAGAACAACTTCCTAACAGTTCAGTTACAATACAGACCAGTGCTGTCAAATAGAACTTTCTCTGATGGTGTTCATTGCCAAGATGATGAGTGCCAGCCACGTTTGGCCATAAAATTTTTAAAAATTTATATTTACATGCAAATACACATTAGGGCTAGCGGCTGCATTTTATACAGTGCTATTCTACTCCAAATTCTCCTAAAAAGAAATGTTTCTCTTCCTTCTAAAAGTAAGGAGATCATGACATTAAGAATCACTGGAATAATAACAAATCTGTACCATTTCCATTCTGGATGATATTTCATT